TTTTTTTATGGGTGAAAATGGTATGGTAACCCCGCCTGCGCTAATGGGATACGCTGGCGGAGCACCAGTAAAGGGTGATAGATGAGAGTGAAAACAGGCCAGTTAGCCCATCATGATGAATTCATCAGGAATTAACCATGATAGTTTCCAGGGGGAACCGCGAGGAAGTCGACCTGGTTGGGTATATTGCTAGCAATGGGATTCTCAGTCTCCATTACTAACAATCCCTTTCCCCCCAGTGAGACAGAGTTAGCTATACATACTTTGTACATACAAAGTTTTTTTTATTTTATTTATGACAATGAAGTCCCCGCCTGCGCTAACCGTATACGCTGGCGGGGCACCGTGAATGATGATAGGTAAGATGAAAAGGCAGACCTTTTTTTAAGTGAAAATGGAATGGTAACCCCGTCCGTGCTATCGGTATACACCGACGAGGCATCAGTGAAAGATGATAGATGAGAATGAATGCAGGTCAGTTGGCCCACCATGATGAATTCGACAAGAATTAAACATAATGGTTTCCAGGGGGAACTGCGTGGAGGTTGACTGTGTGAGGTGCTAGTAATGGGGCTGTTACACCCCATTACTAACAATCCCTTTCCCCCGAAAAGGCAGGTCAGCTAGCCCATCATGATGGGCATACATACATATCATACATTTCGAATTCAGGACGATGGTTTTCAGAGGCCATCACGTAGTGATCGACCTGACAGATTATATTGCTAGCAATGGGAATGACAGTCCACATTACTAATAATCCCTTCCCTCCACAGAGTTGAGGTTAAGTGAATTACGTTTGATAGTAACATTAAGTTTCCCCATATATAAACACATATATAGATTATCATTGATGTTGTTTGTATAGTAAGTTTAACTTGAACTAATACCGCAGGCTTAAATTCTGTTTATTAACTTCGTACTATTACAGTTTCGTAATTATATCCTATCCAATATTATCCTATTAATATGAGTATTATAAATGTGAAAGTTTGTATAGATATTTGGATGTTTGTTAGTTAATTATGTTTAAACGACTGCATAGTTATGTATGAAATTTGATACACGGGTTATATTCTAACTTAACGTATAAAATATTTTATGTACTAACTAGCTTTAACCCCGACTTTGTCCGCGTGACGGGAATATGATCGCTAATCGGCATAAAAAAACCTATAATGGAGAACCATTCCATATATGTGTATACCAAATTCCATAGTGATCGGTTAAGCCGTTAGCGCGCTATAAGGTAACAAATAAACTCACTTTCACATTTATAATATTAGTAAAGATTCATAAAGGTAATGCCGCGGGGAATATCTAGTGTATAATAAAATTTTAATTAGACAATGTCTATATAGGACATTATTTTTAATTTTTACAAAATTATTATTATTATATCTGTCGTTAACTGTCCACTTTTGGACATAAGTCTTTCCCAGAAGAGGAATTTTTCCAGTAGCCAGTTTTCCAGCCAGTTTTCCAGTTGCCACGCTTGGCAGGCGGGTTAGCAATCGTAGTTAGGATTTTAGTGATGTTTTAAGAGGGACGCTGCTGCCCACCCCTTCACCATAAGCTCCCTTAGTTGCCTCTTACTACGCCCACGGGAAAAGAAGGGATGGTCTATTCTATGCTGGGACCTACATATGGCGATGTCTACATAGGAGATTATTATTTTTGCATCAGCCGTTAACTGTCCACTGCTAAACATATAAATATAATATAAGTATTCATAGGATATCTTTAAAAAAAAATGATATGAGAGAGAAAGCTAAACAATAGTTTGTAGTATTTTTGTCTATCTAGATGTTTCTTTTAGCATTATCCAAAAAATTTACTGCAATTTTCAACCGACTTTAAAAAGAAGAAGACTCTCAATTTAGTTGCATTTTTTTATATTTGTTACCTCATAACTCCGCTAAGTTTTAAAGTTTGTGTCTTTATTTATTACAGTTATATTTGTGAACGTTTAGCTTAAAATTTGGTGTATATTTTGTCTTGAAATTTTATTGATTCAATTTCTAAGCGTACGGAGTCGCGGGCAAAAACTATACTATAAATGATTCATTTCTATGTTACAGAAATGAAATTGCCATAAAGTTCATCAACATGTAATATAATAGAAGTACCTACCTATGGTTTACAGTTATGGGCCATCCCATGTTCTGTCAGTCAATATGTTTTGATTAATTACCGTTTTGCAGTACAAATTCATGAGTTCGTAATCGATTTCGGCGGGACACATTGGAAAATCATTATGCAAATAAAGAGATATAATTGCAGGTAGATACATGCTGAGGTAAATCCCATATTAAAAAGGGAAAAGGGTTTTATTATTATTACACAAGGGAAGTTAATTTCGCCTGTAATTTAAAATATATTAATATTACAAACGTGGACGTTTGGAAATATATTTTGATGTTTAAATATGGAAATGTTGTTTGTTTGTCTAAAATTCTTTATTGTACACATGGAAAAAGTTTTGATACATAAAAGAAAAACAGTAGACAAGTAGATGGACTCGTTCCAAATAGTCTTCCAATCTTGCGTGCATTTAAAAAAAATTCAAAATAAGGGTATGTACATACATGCAACTTGTATATATGCAAAAACGAATAATAACGAAAATGAAAAATAAAATGGTAGACAGGCATGACAGTCATCAGCATTTTTTTTTCATACATACATATATGTATGAAAAAAACATGCTGATGACTCAACCATGTCTAAACTGCTATATGCATTTGAATAAATGAATAAATGGTCGTGTGGTCCTACCACAGAATAGACCACCCCTTACTTTCCCATGGGCGTTGTAAGAGACTAAGGGAGGGTGAAGGATGGGCAGCAGCGTCCCTCTTAAAAAATCTCTAAAGCCTAACTACGGTAGCCAAATTACCTGCCAAGCGTGACAACTACTGGTAAAACCCCCCAAGGTGGAGGATTATGTTCAGCAGTAGACAGTTAAAGGCTGATATGATGATGATGATCCTAAGGTATGTGGGAGAAGTTGCGAGATAAAACTAGTTCAATAGCCGTATTCCACGAATCTGTTCTTTCTAGTTTCTATTGGAATTTTTGGAAAATTTAACAAATTCAATTATCGTAATTTGTGAACAAGTGAAATTATTGGGTAAAGGTGTCGCTGAAAACTTGGCCAGCCGATCTTTTTCATATTTTATTATTCACATTCGCAGGTGCTATTCGTAATCAATATATTTGATATATGTTTAGATATTCCCTTTTTCTGTACCTACCGTTTTATCGAGAAAGAGATCCTTAATTTATGGGTTTTATTATACGAATATATGTAACTTATCAAAATTTACAGTTTTTTTTTATTTATTCTTTTATTACAATGAGGTGGCAAAGAACCATACAGCTCACCTGATGGTAAGCGGTTACCGTAACCTATGAACGCTTGCAATGCCAGGGGCATATATATATATATATATATATATATATAGATATATAGTCATAGATGTAAGCGCATACATGATGCATATATCTCAGTAGGTATATCTTTATGTACAAGTATTTTTTAATGGGTGATACTGGAATGGTAACCCCACCTGCGTTATCGGTATATACTAGCGGGACATCAGTGAGGAATAATAGCTGAAGAAGAAAGTAGGACATTTGACTCATCATGGCAAATTTCACAACAATTAAGCACGAGGATATCAAGAGAGAACCGCGTGGAGGTTAACTGTATAAGGTATTTAGCAATGGTGTTGGAAGATCCCCATTACTAAGAAGAAGAGAAATGGGATAGTACTTATAGCTAGGTATTATATTCTAAATACGAAAATATCTTTTTCCTTTTAACATACCATGAAAATGAATTCGTGTAAAAACATATCGGTATAGCCGTGTCACGTACCCACGACCATCCTTATAAACCAATATTTACAACACCACAACGAGATGTGACCAACGTGCGTTGGTTGCGGTCCAATGCACCGCCAGAACGACACTGACCCAAGTAGGGTTGGCAGATTCGAATTTTTATAATTTATCACTCCACAAATTTGAAATAAATTTCCTTCAAAATGATACTTTTTCTAGACTTATTCAAATACAGAGATTTTGTGCTACTAAACTGTTTTAGCACATTTTATGCACTGTGTAAATTTTGCAGTGAAGAATCTGAATTTATGGAATATTCATGTATATCTAAATGTGATTTATTGATAAGTACGCAATTGAATCTACTGGCCACGATCTAATCAAAGTCTGAAAACTACAGGTATCTATTTAAAATCATAATTTACAAAATCGTTATAGTTTGAAATGGAATTCGAGATCAAAAATGTAAACAAAGGGGTTACCATATCGAAAAATATAAATATTTTGTATAACAAGTTTGTCTAAAAGTATTGAAAAATTGTGCTAAAACTCCACATATATATTAAATACAAATGTTTTTTAAGGAATAGGTATAATGATACAAGAATAACAATTTTTAAGTAAAAACTGTAATTAACTATTTTATGGCATTGGCAATAGGACAGTTACTTGAACAAATTTATGATAAATACGGTTGACAAATTAAAATGTGATGAGGAATTGTGATACATATTGTTTAATAAATTTAGTGTAAAAATGATTAATTTCTAAATATCTCAGTCAGACTCAAAAGGACTACTTAGTTTCCAGAGACATTACATTTTATTCCAAAAAAAGTTTAAATATTTAACTCATTTTTTCTTTCTGCATTCATAAGATATTTATAATGACAGTATAGAGGTGGAATAATTGTATTATATAATACACAAAGAAATCAGTACTAACTTGATCATTTTATAGATATGAGGAAACGTCAGTTCATAATAGGTAAATGCGACAAATTCTGACTCAACAACGTCAATCCCCACGAATTAGATTAAATCTATGTACATATTTGTAAGGACAAATGGGTAGTAAAGCACTGGTAATATTATAAATGTAAAGTGAGTTTGATTGTTTGTTTTCTAAAATGTAATTCAAAGTGAAGAGGGTTATCACATTAAAAATGTATGTAAATGTATTGACAAATCGATTTAGAGTATCAGATCTGATTGGATTAAAGTGTAACAGTTTGCGATCTGACTACATATGCGAATATAACTTATATTTATATCTACTACCACGGACGGTGAAAAACGAACACTCCCACTGCTTACCTTGACCTTAATACAGAATAATTTACTTACATGATTGATTAAATACGCTTACTGCCTTAAAACTAAATTACCTAAAATTCTTCACGATGTATATTTGTCTCCAAAATTTTTTTCCAAGCGTTTTATTTTCACAAAGATTTCTTCATGAGATAATTTTTTTTTATTATTTTTGTTATATTGTCTATAGTTGACTAGTAGATAACACCGTAATATGGTTTTAAGCATTTAAGTTAGCCTTTTACACTGTCCAGTAGGGTTACTCTTCAAATAAATTCCAATAAATCCATATTGAAATTAAGACGTTTCGCAATCTGGAACTGCAATATTAGCGATATACCTAATGGTTTCATATTGTTCTGATAAATGCATATTAGTGTAAATTGCCAATGCAAACTATTGCAAACCGATCCCAATTATAACCTAATTCCTAACTATTGTTTCATGAGTGCAGTATAAAATTGTTATTGGCAATAGATTGTATTGATTATGATATTAAATTCAAGAGTAGACCTGCTAGTGTATTAAAGTTCAATAAAAAAATAAGGAAAAAAGTACCCAATCCAGTAACGCTAGATCAATCGCGGGCGTAGTGTTCCCGCCCGCAGGAAACGAGCCGAATTTGCCTCTGCGGTATGCTTATTTCTTTTACTGGGTTTCCGGACTCATTTCCCTATGATGCAAGACTTCATCTGTGATGCAAATATATTGCGTCATTAAAAGAAATGCGGATAATCCTTACTAATACTCGTATGGTAGGTAAATAGGGTGAAATCGAAACTATTTTGTCAAAGAAATTGAATATTTTTTTCTAAATAAACATTTCTGATAAAATAATAGTCTATTTGGAGCCGACAAGTTTTGTTTTGTCCAACGGTTTTGTAATATCATTTGTTATTTATTTCCACTATGTTAGACATAATCTCATTAGATTGAATATTAACTTAGACCCACCCCTCTAGATGTGAGGGGGGGGAGGGATTGTTAGTAATGCAATCTAGTCCCATTGCTAGCAATATGGTTGGATCACATGGTCGACTTGACAAAGTTCAGGTCGACCATGTGATCTACCCTGGAAACCATCATGCATCATTCTCACTTATCATTCCTTACTAGTGCCCCGCCCGCATCTAATGTTAATACAGGCGAGGTTACCATTCCATTATCATCCATTAAAAAAAGGCTCCCTAGACATCATCTCTCTATCTCATTTTATCACTAAAACGCATCGGCAATGACGATTCCATCGATGGATTTGCTCGCTACTTGTCTGAGGGTCAGTTTAATACAGGAAATGGCTTCCCTAGCGACTGCAAACTTCAGGCACGTTGGTGCCTAGAAATTCTGTACACCTGAGGGCGCCGCCTTCACACAAACAGTAGTAGTAATACGAGAATTTATGGTAGTAACTTTATAAATTGAACGTAAAGTTCTTGATACATGTACGATGGATCCGTTACCTAATCCCAGATGGATTCAAACGTATTTGACTTGCCAGTATTTTGTTGATACAATATAATTCGACCTGTCAGAGGCCGTGTTTATAACCGGCCCTGGGATTAATAAAATACAAATATTTAATGAGTGAAAATTGAACTTCTGGCCCGTTTTATAGATAGTCACTAATGTTATCGCCAGGCTAATTAGGTCAGCGTCAGTTCCTTTAATCTGGTTCCGTTCTTAAGCCTTTGAACGCTTATCCGTAATCCTCGGCGAAACGCCGTATTAAGTACCAAAGTACCTACTTAGTTAATTCATAAACATTTTACAAACATTTCAGTTGAACAGATTGTTTCCCCTTTTACAAGTGAATTAACATTTCTAACCGACGTCTTTAAAGGAGGTTATTTATTTGTCCAGTTTTCTGCTTTTTTTTTTTAAAGGAATGTAATGTTTTCTTTGCCTGTATTATAAAGTGGAAAGATTTGTTTGCTTGTTTGTAATGGATAAACTCGAAAATTATTCGACAGATTTAAAAAATTCTTTCATCTATAAAAAGCAACATAATCAGCAAGTAACAGACTATTATTTTCGAAAATTCTATCTACCCCTGCAAAGTCGGGCCGGATTGCTAGTAGCAAATAAAGAAACTCGCATATATGAATTCTGAACTCATTACTTATTTATAAGAATGAATAGATTTGGGAGTCCTAAACGCCTGATGTCCAAACATCAGGCATTTATTTATACGCCATGTATTATTAGTAGGTACGCTAAGTGTATGGTTAGAATCCATTCTTTGGAAATAGTTCATTTATGGCAAACTCGACTGTCCAGTCGGGCTTTTTTTGTTTATGAAACAAAATGTATATGTTTTGTTTTGTTTATTTAATTATAAACTGATTATGATTATTATTATTTTTATTGAAATTATTTACTCCCTTCATCATTTATATCTAAAATACTTGTATATCAATACCCATTATGTTCACTTACTAATTTTCTTATAACTGAAATTGGATTTTTGTGAAACAAACTGATAAATTATGTTAAATTTGCTATAAGTATCTACACAACTTCATTAGTGTAAGCTCGTTTCCATATTATTCCCATGGGAATTTCCAACAACCCTTTCTAAGTAACTTGATCATCATCATCATTATCGTTTCAGGCGTTGGTAATTAAGGATCCCCAATGCAAAATTTCAGGTTGATCAATTAGGTAATTAGTTTCTACTTTTAAAAATATATATTTATATTTAATATAATATATAATGAGGAAAATTCTAATTGTTTGTTTGTAATGGATAAAATCCAAAACTACGGAACCGATTTTAAAAATTCTTTCACCTATAAAAAGCTACATTATCAGCAAGTAAAAAAATCTATTTGTCTGAAACCGAACCTATATGTATATATAATTATACGAGTATATCATTATTAAAATATGACGCCCCACTGCTGGGCAAAGGTCATCTCTATCTCTTTTCAAAACTTCCTGTTTCACCTTAAACCAGTTCTTTTTAGATTTGTCTAGGTCATCACATAATTATATATTATGCAGGTACCTGTGTTAAGATATTCATCGTGCTTACTGTACCTAATTTTATGTAATGGTCATAATGTGGTAATTTTAGTTTTTGGGGTTAAGTATTATGATAGATATTACAGAATCGAGTTAATATAAATAATATTATTGTGTGACCAGTCATCACGACGTCTCATTGACCTAGTGCTTTTATATATTCGAAGTTACGAAGTTCAATTGTGAAAAATTGAGTAATCAAATTAAATCATTTATTTGCACTAAGTGATTTTTTTATATAGATATTTTCACACATGCATATAATATATATATATTAGAGCCAACTTAGTACTCTTTTAAGGTATATTATGAAGTTGGCATCCATGATTACACAATATAACAATCAATAATAGTGTTTGTGAACATACAATAATAGTAATACAAAATCCAACAAATGTAATTTATTAATTATATTCCTAGTTATCTTTTATCTACATTAAATATTACCTAATGCTTATTTATTTAAAATTAGCTTACTAGTAAAGAAAATTTTAAAGAAATAGTATACAATACAACCTTTACTACCCTGTTGTTAGCAAAATACTCTAACAGATCATTCTTCTCCTGGAAACTCATCTTGGATAATTCTTATTTGATTCGTCACGATGGGCCAACTGACCTGCTTCATCTTTACCTAACATCACTCACTGGTGCCCCGCTAGCGTACAAAGATAGTGCAGATGAGGTTTCTATTTCAGTATCTATTAAACATTTATTAGTACGCAAGTCAGTTGGTTTAGTATGGCGTTTTATGCAGAGATTTTGTTCCTTTAGTCGTAGAAATAAAAATGGCATGGTGGTGATAATAAGAAATCCCTCATGGAGAATCCATTCAGGGGAGACGACTAGGCTTCTCATTACTTTGAGATAACATTATTCTCTTAGAATTCTAAAAACTCTTGAAAAGCTCATTGCTATAGACGCAGGAGTGTTTGCAAACGTTTTCAGCATCAGCTGGTTTCTCTCTTCCATATCAGTTATTTCGCTTAATAGGTACTACTTAGTCTTTCTCCTGATGTCATAGCTATAAAATGATAATAACGTAATCATGCTGCAAGCCGCTGTTGTCGCCGGTCTCACTCTTGTTGTCTGAAATATTCTGTTAGAATAGAGATAGATTTAATGAACGTAAAAGATTGTTGAGATTGTTGTTTTGTATGTTTAAATATTTATTGAAAGTCTGAAATAGATTTGAATGAAATTTGTCACAAAAGTATATTATAATCTGGATTAATATATCGTATATTTATCCTCGTTCACGTGAATGTGATTAGATGTGTACGGTAGGTTAATAATGGGGTGTTGATATAGTAAATCGTCGAATATATAATTACTGTTTATTGATACGAACTAGCAAGTAAATATCTGTACATTTAAGTAGAAACTACATCAATATTACATTAATGTATTAGATAATTATTTACTCAAAAGTATCAAGTAAATGAGATGCAGATTAAACGATATTAAGACTCGTGTAAGCACTAGAGTAATGACAATTTATTCCGAAGTCTTGGCGCCGACAACTAACTGTTGTTTGTTCTAGCATGTTCTCTGCGAATTTCGCTAACATTGTTTACATCTGCTTGGCTCAACTCTTCTGCCGGAGGGTCGCATCAGAAATGTAGTTATTCAGCCGTACATTATCATGCGGGCCATTATAAGAGTAAACAGTATGATTTAAAGTTGTATAAATGCGATATAAGGGCTCTTTAAATGAAATTTTGTCGTATCGTGGATATTCATTGCAAAGAGTTGTTAGAATTGGTTTCTCTTCACTTTAAAGGGGGTCGTGAATAATTGTTGCCATAATTAAAAAAAAAAGAAAAACTTGTAGGTAAATAAAAAAAAATTAACAAACTAAGAAGGCTTTTGGTTTAATACCAAAAGCCTTCTTAGTTTGTTCTGTTTGTGTTAATTAAATAGTATAGGTAAATATTTATATTGGCTTTACTTACAATTTAAATCCGGGGATGCTCGACTAGTTTCGAACTCAATAGGAGCTCTTATTCATGAGCGCAGTTTTGGCGGTTCTTATGTTGTGAGCTGCCACAAATAGTATGGTTTGGCACGTAGTTCATTCAGTTAATTGTACAAAAAACAGCCGTGTGATAGGGGTGTCCCAGGTAATATGGTTGTATTTTACATAATTAGCTCTAATCTATTGTTACCAGTATATCTAAAACAAGCAAGTACCTTTCGGAAGTAATAAAGAAAATCTCATTTTATATGTAAATGACCCCTTTCTTTACCGTGAGTGTCGTAAGAGGTGACTAAGGGCCGAGGGATGAGCACATTACCAAAGTTTAACTGCAGTTGGCAATTCGCCTGTCAAGCGTGGCAACTATTGGCAAAACCTCCTTTATGCGAGAGACCTATGTTCAGCAGTGGAGAGTTAACGGCTGAGATGGGATGGGGCGGGGGTATGTAAATGACAGAATTCTGTAAAAAGACATGCTAATATTATGTACATTTTTAATGGAGCAGAATTATTAAATTATAACAGTTCCAGCAACATATGTATTAAGCATGCTGAATACAGTAAGTGCTTATTGAAATAGATGAAGTTGTGTGAACTACATTGTACAATTTATGGAATCGTGACAGCAGCATCCGTGACTTCGACTTGTCACACTAACATTAAATTTCTGCACGAAACTCTCAAGTTGAGAATGACTGTATAGCATCACTTCCCGCATAATCTAATAAGATACCTACAGTCAGGACACTGTTTAAATACTTAAAACTGTCACAGGCAAATATTATTGTGATTTACACAACATACTATTTGATTGTTTAGATGTTTAGGTAGTAAACAGTACAGTAGGTAAATGTTATTCTTGTGAGATAAGTATTCTGTAAATATCATTATTACTAATTGCAAATATGCCTAGTTGTTACTAATGAATAATAATTTACACATATTTATTTTTATTATTAAGCAATTTTAATAGAGGAGATTCTTAATTCTATATAATTTTTTTTCATAATAATAATATGACTTTTATTTGCTATAATTTTAGGTATAAAACATTAGGTCTTATAAATTAAAAGTACTTTATCTATTATTTTAAAAATCTACTTAGATTAAGTGTGCAAATATTGAAAAGTTACAATAATTTAATTTCAAATTGTTGGTTTAATTTAAAAGTCAATTCTTTAAGAATAAACATTACATTTTTGTATTTATTACCCGATATCTTTGCCGAAATCTTCGCTTATCCGATTCTGTTAGTTATTTTTTCAATCGGCTACCTTTTTCCCATATTAGTCCCATATTATACTTGTCACGAATGAAATAGTTTTTTCTTTGTGAATCTGATACTACTTCTGTATAGTTTTATATGTATTCAATCCATGGTGTGTTTTCTCCATGACTGTATCATAAATATTTTATCGCAAAGTATCTACGAGTATATTGACAGTTTTTATTTGATGCCCAAAACAAAGAATAAAGTGTTCTATTGATAAAATGTATCGGCATAAACATAGTCGGCTCATGTCAATTAAAAATACATGAACACAGAAATGTAATTTCATTTAACTAACAAATGGAAATATAAAAGTGGAAAGTGTACTTATTTTTATTTTTTATTCATAATAATTAACACAATCTGTCTGTAAACTGTTTTTGGATACAGTGTAACGTAACCGTAGTTATTTTGTTTGTCAAAATGTATTTTAAATACTGAGTGCGAATAAATTATATTATGAATGCCATATTCGAACTACAGAAGTTCGTTAGTACAAATATATGTATTTTTGTTAATATTTATAACAGTCAATTTGCGAATACATAAATATAAGCTTCGTAAAAAAAACCAGTGAAGTGTTTCATTGAGTGTGTGTGTGTATATACATAGGTATTGTACAAATACATTGATGAATAACGAGATGTGAACTATTTGAATTTATAACGCGGTGTTGTGTCTATATGAGATGTTGCTTCGTATAAGTTTCTTTAATAAAGAAAAAACGGCAAGGAGAACATCCTCGCGGTTGCGAAAAGAATTATAAAATTCGGTCAGAATTGGCAAAGTCATTATGTAACATAACTGCAAATTAAATAAAACACTAAGTGAGCCGGTATAGTGCGGCTAGCCGTTGAGAATGGAAGATTCTCTTTTCGGTTGGTCGTATTCATGGACCATGTCGTCTCTGTGTTCGCTCAGGATGGTATGGTCACATGTATTGCTACAATTAAATAAAAAAAAAAAATCGGAAACTTTCGTTTAGAAGCCCCTTATAATTATAAATATTTACGATTCATATTACTTTAAGAATGTGTTATTGTTTACTTACTTCACTTGAGCTTTCCAATTGATAAATAAGTATCAATAATTTACAGAGTCATAAATAAGCACTCCAGTGGGTCGACGGGAACCTACTAAGGGTATCATTAAATCGATCCACAATAGATGTTATGATTTCTATAATTCAAGCCGGCCTATCACTGATGTTTCGTCATATCGTCCATCCCTATACTTTCCCGTCGTCTCACACTCTATAATTACCGCGTTTATATTCGCCTCGCGCGGTCGAAGGGTTTGCTTAGGGCTTTAGGCAAACTAGGCAATTATCACATCGCCTGCAGTCAGTTCCCACGGGATGGTAAATTTGTAAACTTCATACAAACGTGTCGAACCTCGCGGCTGTTTGAACTCGTCTTTTTGTTGCTTTCGCCTCGCAGTAGGATATTGTATTGTGGTCAGTCTCGTTACGAAGCCTTAAGAGCGCGTCCTTGTTATAGTATCGCCTCTTGTAGTATCCATTGCTGGCTTTGTTGAGCCATGTATGAGAAGTAATACTTTAAAGCGGGCGATGTTGCGAGTTGTTTGAGAGTGGGCGTCCAGGTTCAACTTACGATGTCGCAGTGAGGGTTTTGTTTGCTCGGGACGCGCGGGATCTCGTGAGAACCTTCGGAACTGCATGGGCGTGACATCGTACTCTTTTTGTGATGTTTTTTATTCTCTTGTGAGGCTAATGTTGAGTTGTGAGTATCGGTAATAGCTGTACAGAGATCGGATTCGACGTGACCGTGACAATGCATTTTTGGGTTGTAACTTATGCCCTTTTGTTTTGTCCCACACGTGTTGTGTTTCGTGTATTATTTCCGAATTTATTCAGAGTTTAACTCGATAAGAATAAGTCGTAAATCTGTAGCATATTTTACGACCATATTCTTACAATTTTTACGCTAATTAGTCGCTCTTACTCGGATAATATTTGGCAAGGAGCCGACTATTTTTTATTGTTGTAACCATATTGTGCCAAACGTAATGCGATATTTGGTTTAGCACAACTTTCCGCACATAAATCATTCCTGCTTCTTAATAATTCATCATAGGGGACGTATTTTTACGGTTTCATTCTTTGAAGATATCTCATATTTTATTGCGATAAATAAATAGGTACGTTTTTTTATCCGACTATCCTGAAGTCATAAAATAAGATATAAGTGTGCGTGGGATGATATTAATGTGTTTGTAACTATTACTCCTATCGTATGTCTGATTTATTACTATATAGTGTTTACTACAATACAAATATTCTCTTGATCATTTTTAGAGAAGATAAATATAAATTGTTCAATTAAATATGTATGCTATTAATAGGAAAAGGGATCGTAACTTTTCCTCTTTGGTATTGAGACTTTTACGATACTTCTAAAATATTTATTTATAAAGCTTATTGTCTATTATTCTATTATAGTCTTATAATATTCTATTTTATATAGTCACTGAACGTTATCAACATTTGACGGTATGCTTCTATTGTATAATAAGTTCGTGTCGACATTTTGTAATTCTTGAAATTTATACTTCCTACACGTTGTTATTGTATAAACTTTGAAGATTTGGCATCTGTTAGTTTAGCACAGAACAGATGTTGAACAACAACGAAACAATAGCGGTGTCTGTCTACACTTCCTGATTCTAAGGATTAAAGTTCTATTGTGAGAAATTCTTGATCAGATTGCCGATGCCTCCAGAAGCTTTGTAAATCAGTATACACTTTGATCTTAGCCAAAAGGCTGAGAAGCGAGGTAAATAAGTGTAATATGATTCTACAATATCCTTAATACTAATATTATAAACGTCAAAATGGGTTTGTTTGTTTATTACTTCTTAGTGTTTTAATAGTTTGGCCAATCACTCAGTATAGTATAGATGTGCTATATGGGATGGAAAAGGACAGAGGCTATATTTTTTTCCGGTCATTGAACATTATTTCGGTTTTGCGAATGAAGTTGCAGGTAAAAGCTAGTTATTTATAACTAGTTGTTTTACGCGGCTCTGTATCTGTAAAGTATATATAAAGCAATTTACCTTTGAATCAAATTTTATTCAAATCCGTTCAGCCGTTTAAGTGTGATTAAGTAACAAACATTTAAATATTCAAACATCTTTATATTACAAATTTTCACATTTATAATATTAGTAGGATAAAACCATTTAACTACACAAAATAGTTTTGAGACTAATTTAAGGTTGTCTTCAACAAAAAAATATTTCAATCGTGACTTAGAGCGGTGGGTGTAAACCATAAGGCATTAAAATCTGCGCAAAAAGATAATTACTATGTAACATATACACAAAGGATACCGTCGAATTGGGAATGTTCTTTTTTTGAAGTGGTTTAAAAATAAAATAATGAAAAATAATATTAGGATTTTTGTGTTAAGAATAAATACGTCTTCACTGTAGACCTTATTGTATATGGCAAAGGGACGTTTTTCTAACTAGGTTTTAACATGAGAATAAGGACTGTAGGTAGACAGTACCTACATATCTTAGTCTTGTTATAGTAATTATAAATTGTGATATAATATTTCGCGAGATAACGATTTACTTGAAGCTAAATTATCTATACTAATATTATAAAGATTGTTTGTTTGTAATATTCAACGAAAGCTACTCAACTGATTTCAACTGATTTCATGTCTATAGGCGACGGTTACCACTTTCCACCAGGTGGGCCGTCAGCTTGTTTGCCATTCTAAGTTGTATAAAAAAAAATTCTTGCACCTATAGAGAGCTACGTAATCAGCGAGTAACATAGGCTATCATGAATGAATGAATGAGTATATTTTGTTTAATATATTAATCGATTTTATACAGAAGGAGGTTCTCAATTCGGTTGTATTTATTTTTATTACCTCCATCAGTTTAAAAACTTCGCCAGTTGTTAACCGATTTGGATTTTTTTTATCTGAAAGGATATACCTATAGATTGGTCCCATAGAAATTTTACCAAAATCAGTTGAGTAGCTTGGTTTGTAAATCAAAATAACTGGTTTTGTTACAAACGAA